TGCGGATGATGGTCATGCGCGTTTTGTTTTCAGTTCATTTGAGGAACTTCAACAAGGTCTTGTTTTCTTTGGCAAACTCATCTCTGTCCTTGAACGTATGGGCATGACGGTGAACATGAAGAAGTCAGCAGTCATCCTTCGCTGGGGAGGCAAACAACAGAGTCATGCCAAGAAACGATTTGTGCAAAAGCAGCTGGACCGTTCTGTTTTGCTGATACCAAAGGCAGAAGGTGGCTCACATGCCATACCCATCACCGAGAAGCACGAATATTTGGGAGTACAAATGGGATATCACAACTTTCAATCAGACACCATGAAAGCACGACTTCAAGCTTGCAAAGTTCGTTTCAAGCAGATGCAACGTTGGTTCACAAAGAATGGCACACTCGGCTCAGAAGGTGGCTCTGTGGCAGACATGCATTTTTCCAATAGGAATCTATGGACTGGATGCAACCGGTGTGGATCACACTTCCATTCCCATGTTCTCCAAGACCATGACGACAATGTTAAGACAAGCAGCTGGAGATCAATCATTTTTGACCCACACCACACACATTGGCTTTTTGTCCGACAACCACCTACAGCACCCGGCGCTCTTGCTTCGGGAGCGGATGGTCTCACAATTGAAGAGGCATGAGGACCGGGTTCAACATCTTGAGGATCATGACATTCTTCACCTTCTTGATCTCCACACCTTGGTCACATCCATCAACCTTGTTGACTCATGGCTTCAGGACCTTGGCGATTTGGACCTTCAACCCAAGCTCCCACTTGCAGAGGCTGGACTGGACTGTCAACAATGTGGGCAGACCTTTCAGTTTCTCTATACCTTGAGACGTCATGAACTGTTTGTTCACGGGGTTCTGCACGCAGCTGGACCCGCCTTGGACATAGCTAGAGATGCAGTTGAAGGGAAACCTACACGTCGTCATTGTGGAGAATCCTTCATAAGTTGGCAAAACTTCCGGCATCATATCAGCTCCTATGCATGCACTGAATTTCACTCCACCAAGGCACCGCCAGCACAACTTCAAGAACATCGACAACGGTTGCTGGCCTACTTTGATGAAGGAGACATGGCACCACTTGCCAACGACAGGAGCCTTTGCTACTTTTTGACCCAACCGTGCATTCTTTGCGGCTTTTGGTCTTCTAGACTGCAGCAAAATGTCAGCACACATGGGCAGGGATCATGGAGAAGTCTATGGCATGATGGGGGATGTTCTCCCACATGTTGTTCGAGCTCGAACTTTGTGGACAGGAATTCCGCTCCAAGACACACACCTGCCCGGTGAAGAAGCAGCTTGGGCTTGCCTTGGCCTACAGGAAACACAGGGAGCAATATCCGGCCTGCCCTCCGCCAGTTCTTCAACCTCCTCAACGGATGGATGCACAATTTGCTTGTGCTCAATGCCCACGGAAATTCGTGACGGCAGCAGGCCTTCATCAGCATCAAGCCATGGAACATCCACACTCCACCCTTACTCGGACCTTCATGGCGGCAAGGGATCAGGTGCCTGGTCTTACACAGTGTGCTCATTGCCATGCTTCATTCTTTGTCTTGCAGCCCTACGGCATCACATTGATGGTGGCCAATGTCCTGAACCCCTTCCAGATGCTCCTCCTCTTCTATGGCATCACCCTCTGGTGATCTCAGGTCTTCATGGAGGAACCTTCGATCACTTGATGGCCTACAAATCACTCATCAGGAGGCTGGGCTACATCTGTGGACTGTGTGGGCATCAGTCATCCAGCTCATCTTCCTTACTGAAGCACCTGAGCTCGGCGCACGCCACTTCCTGGACCATGGCCTCCTCCTATGCTGAATGGCTTCAAACTGACAGTGCTCTGTGGAACCTAGCCTGTTCTTGTCTCAGGCCACCTTCGACGCCTCACGTTTGCACAGTCTTCACACAACTGGCACTGTTTGTTCATCATGATCTCTACAAGCTCCAGAATGCCAGTGATGAGCTCATCCTGGCGCATGCCCTGCGGTTGGACCTTCAAGTGCTTAGCCCCACGCTGGCCCTGAACTTTCCGGATCTGGACAGCCTGCTCACGACGGGCACCTTTGAAGAGATCCTGACGGATGGCCAACTCTGCACAGCTCTTAGCACATGGTGCTGCTTATGTGGACGACAAGTGGACCCAAGGGACATGCTTCAACACATTTGGAACAATCACTCCAAACATGGAAATCGAGGTGCCTTGTTTTACAAGTTTCTGTCCTTTCTTCAAAAGAGACAGCAAACATGTTCCATTTGCAGCAATCATCCTACCGCAGTGCAGTGTCCAGTTCTCCTCCAACTGTCCGGCCTGCTAGCAATCCTTCATCATGGACATGGCGGGCAACCAGGTCTCGGACATGTGGGGAGCTCTGAACCAATGGGCGAAGATGGAGGTGGACGAGGACAAGCAGAGCGCAAAGCGCCCGAGGTCTTCCACGTCGAATGGAGGGAAGGGCCAGGGCAAAGGAAAAGGAAAAGAGGCCAGGGGGAGATCCTGAACACCAAGGACGAATCCACACAAGATTCAAAGACGCTCCTACAGGCAATGACCCGCCTCGTACTTCGACACGAAGACACACTCCAATGCCTGGCTATGGAGACGGACTTCTTCGTTTTTGTGAGCGTGGGTCCCGGCTCAGTGATTCCTCTCATGATGGCCCAGACATGGCAGCAGACACCACAGGCAGAGAGGACCCATCCACTCCGGATCCTGGTCCTGAAGACCCTCCTGGATGGAGGAGCTGCTGAAGAGGATTCAGAAACTTCAATCCACGGAGGAGCCTGCAACGCCTGAACTTTTTGCAGCTCGAGCCCGAGAAGGCAGACTCGTACATGTTTCCACGGATGAAGTGGAATTCCAGCAAGCAGGCGATGGAGGCTCAGGAGGAGGCACCTCTGACCTTGAACCAAGCCTCTCAGACGGTGACAAGGATGCTCACCTTTCTTCAGCAAGAAGCTCTGGTCAAGAGGTTTGGGGCACTCCGTCCACAACAGCACATCCAGAAGGTCATGACCACGGAGACGGAGACACCGTCAGCCATCATCCCCTGGAGAATCACACTGGCTTTGGTTCACCCTCATGCCAACGAGATGAGGGGACTGTGGCACCAACTGAGTCACTCCGGGCTTTGGCAACTGGTGCTAGGCAGAATGCGCTCGGCCAGCATTCACAGGACACCACTCGCCCAGCACCTGGGCAAAATGCTGGATCAACTTTGATGGAACCTACCACACCGCCTCTTCGGACACTTCAGAATCCTGCTGCAGCCTGCTACATGAACTCGGCTGTTACTGGACTAGCCTGGAGTGCCCTTCAAGCTGATGGGTTGAAGGTGGATCAATGGTCCAACTTCCCTGGGGTTCTTGGGGAATTGGCAGATGTGTCCAAAGGGCAACCGCTTCTTTTATGGTCGGATGGGCAGTGGACCTCACTCCCAGCCAACTGGTCAAATCCTTTTCGGCAACATGACGTGGTTGACTTTGCTCATCATCTTCTTCAGCAAACCAACCCCTTTTTTCTCAGCTGTTGTTGGGAAAGCCGGCTGGCGGCTGGAGGAGGAGGGCACCATGAAGGTGGTGGACCACAATGCCCAAGGATGCCCTTTGCATCTATACATCTGCAGTGAACAAAAGAGCACGCTCCCCATCGATTTGCAGGGGCTGGTCTCCACTTGGAGCCTTGCATCATTCGGTTTACACGCCTTGACTGATCCTTCAGATGTTACATGCCTGCACATCGACCGCTTCGATTCGAGGGGAAGGAAAAGCAAAACTCGCCTGACATGGGACTCTAAGGTCTGGTTGCCTTTTTTCCTGGGTGAAAGCTCGAGGTGGACTACATCCCCTTCGTGGTCACTGGAGTCTCCTATCATCTTGGTGATGACGCAACCAGCGGGCACTATTGCACCGCCATCAAGGACAAGGACTGGTGGTGGGTCTTCGACGACTCCAATGAGCCGGTCAAGTTCTCGGCACTTCCATTGGTGGCTCAGGAGAACAGCTGTCTTCTTTGGCTCAATTGCACTCCTCATGGCGGTGCAGAAGAGGTGTCATTGGTGGCAGATGAATCTCCCATTCTGACCGAGCAGGAAAAGATGAACAACATCATCCATGACCCGGCCATCAACGACAATTGGCATGGAGCATGGCTTCGTAGCCTCGACCTCTTGGACACACAGATCTTGGTGGACAATCCCAGTCTCTGCCATCGACTTGTGAAGAAATGCATCACTTGCGGCAGCTGGCCTCGGGACATGAATGGACACCTGCAGGTGGCACATCGAACCTGGTGGAACGAGGCCGGCACCCTGGCGGAGAAGTGTGCAGTGAGCTTCATCTCACGGGCCCACCCAACGCGGTGGTGCGCATGCCAACCTTTTTACGGCACAGGTCTGAACGAAGACCATAGCTGCCCCTGCCTGAGGCAGTTCGCCATGTTGCATTTGATGTTGCGGTCCCATCAGAAAGAAGCAGCCAGAGCATCCACACTAGCTCGGCTGCTGGACCAGACCTTTAGCTGAGGTTTCGGCCCCACGGGGCACCAGATGGACCACCTGGGTCCACGCGATCTTCAACCGAAGAGCGTATGAAAGAAAAAGATGATGATGATGATGATGATGATGATGATGATGATGATGAGCTGATGATGATGATGATGATGATGAGCTGATGCGCTACGTGCATGATGCGGATGATGCGCTTATGCGTTACGGGCGTGATGTGCAGGATGTGCTGATGATGATGATATGATGTCTTGAGAATCCACTCAAGTCAGTGTCTTGGACGATGAGTTGAGTGGCCCGAAAGGCAAAACAAATGTAAAACATATGGTTTTCTAGCCCTCAGCGTGTCCCCCGTTTACGCAACACGTTGCAACTATTGGGACCTCACCTTGCTGACGCATGTACCTACTCCTTCAATGCTTGCGCCATTGATCTGAACGATTTCCGCGATCAGCAGTAAACTGTTTTAACTGTTGTCTGGGCTCAAAGCATCACAGGAATGTGCTTGGAGAGCATGTCCTTATCAATTCTTTCGAGATCAAACACGATGGGTTCCTAGCCTAGCCTAAGTCTAATTCAGCAAAGAAGCATACGCCATCATGTCGAAAGACCAACCGTAGTAAAAGTGGGTTGTATAGACCTGAGCTTCAGAACATGCTAATCCGGGTCATTCTTTCGAAAAGAACTGATGATCGGACCGTTCGATTCCTCAGCTCTGGAACCTGTTGGACAGGAAGAAAAATGTCAAAAGACTACCAGGTTGGAGGCCATCGCTTTTAGGTTGACCATCGCTAGTAGCCGCTAGTAGGTAGGGGCAGCCGTCTTTCGTTGTTTATTTCTTTGCTTATCTCTCCTTCGTTATTTCTTTCTTTACAACTCCACAGGATGGTGAACGAGCCCATGCCTCTTCATGGATAGGACGATTTGGCACTTCAGACAGGCGCATTCCAAAGTGAATGCCTCCAATGAAGCCAACGGCAGGAGATATATGTGCAAATTATCATTCCAATCTAAACGTGCCTGAAACCACAATTAAGAGGTCAGGTTGTTCTCGAAGCACCTTGCTCGTAACAGCAATTCACAACGTGATTGCTCTTGTCTTCAGAGCTGTCTTGTGTAGTCCTTTTCTGACCTCCAGCGGTGTATAATGAGATTGATTGGTGATACAAAAGAACACCTGCCCAGTGAAAGGGCACATAAACTCGTGCTGCTGCTATGACAGCCACAATCATGCAAGTCGAAATCGACTTCTTGACTTGCTTCAGTTGCAAGCAAAAACAAAAGCTGTTTTCCTTTGTGGAATTGGTTTGTTGCATCTCATGGGAATTCAAGCCATGAGCATTCTCAGTAACTCGATGCTATGGATTGGTTCTTCTGCTCGCATCTTCTCAAAAATCTTGACTTTGGGAAATATCAGAATGGTTTTCCAGCCGGCAGGTATGATTGACCCTGTTGAGGTCAAAAGCAACATGGAACATAGATGGGCATAGTTAAGGACAAACAGCAAAGTCTGGAAGATGGACTCTCTTGCATCGAGCCAGGTAGATAGAAGCATCTTTCGCACGTCGCTAGCTGGGCGCAGCACCCGCTTGGCACCTTTCACTGCGGCAATTGACCAATCAGTGAGCAAATCTCCAGACCCCCAGGTAGGCAAAGTAATCCTCGTAGAATTCCAATCTTACAAAGAATTCTACTACGCTCTTTGTGACCAAAATCCAGAAGCAGCATTTTTGTTTCTAACGATCTGGATGAAGTTTGACATTCTACAAAGCTTCGGGAAAGGTGATGTTCACATTGCATCTGAGCAGCCCATCAGCCCTCACTTCATTCCTGGAAGCTGCAAAACAAGTCATGAGTGACTGAATCCCTGGAGGTGAAAGATGTGAAAGCAAAATGAAAAGCTGCCTTCCGTATCTCAAAGGTTGTTACCGGTCCTCAAATCAAAGCCTACGACACGCGGGTTCGGCTGGTACCTGTTACATCAGAAAGATCAAACAAAACCTGCCCATGGGCACTGATCTGACAAATACGCTTCGGTCTGACCGAGGTGTTAGTCTGTTTGCGCCTTCTCGCGACGAGCTGAATGCCACGAAGCCAATCCTCTTCGGGATACCTGGTGCACTAGCTGTTGAGAGGAGAAAGGACCCCATGGCCCTATGGCTGGGGGCAGTTAAAATAGTGCTATGGGGTGTCTGAATGCACCTCTCCGTGTGCCACAAACCTTCACCGTCACTGCCACTGCAACACCTCAGCACACAACACACAAACCTGCCAGAGAATATTTAATCATCCAGCACCAAACACTTCAGCTCTCCGCCAACCCGCAGAAGACACATGGTTGTTAAGAATCACCAGCAAGCCAGCATCAGTCAAGGCCTAATCGATCATGCACCCGACAATCTGGAGTGACGAAGCGTTTTTTGCGCTCCCTCAATGAAGAAAAGGTTGCACAACGTCCACATCTTGCACATACCAAGGTGCTTGCCGATACGGTCTTGTCAAAAACCTGCAAATACAGGGCATTGATTGCAACCAGTTCTGGCGTGCCAATTCCTGGTTCTTGGCCAATAACGACTTGGTTTGCCTCCATGGGTGACAATCCCAGAAGATCAAGGTTGGCACCCAAGACCTCCTGGGATCAAGGTTTGCTAGAAGCGGCAAATGGATTTGACAGGCGACTTGGAGCCATCTGCCTTCGCTCTTGGAACCGATACATTCTGGAGAACCATTTCCTTGGTTGCAGGGATGTTCTGAGTCAACTGCTGCAACTTTTACAACTCAGCACTCCACCAAGCTGAATGGTAAACGGATGCAATTAAAACCAAGATCAACAATCCTCAAGCAAAATCAAAGCTTCATGCGGTTAATGACGCAGCTTCGACAACAGGCTTTGGCGTCCTCGAGGCAATTGCTGACACAGGCTGATTGTTCAAGCCGTTGTTCACCATCTGTCTGCGCAGGGCTCATGCACAGGTTGCAACCAGCTCCTACAAGACTCAAGAACAACAATCACAACCTTGCAATGTGCCTCTGGGATGCACCGTACCAATTCACACACGCAAGCAGTACCTCGAAAGTTCAAGGAGAGGAGCTCGGGTCATCAAGTTAACTTGGGAGCACGCGTCTTCCTGATCGCCCCACGACAAATCGTCCTATCAACAAAAAAAGACCTTAACACAGTTTACAAAACATTAACACAAGCAAAGAATGTAGGAAATGGAATAAAGGGAATGTCCAAGTCCAAATAGAGCCAATCCTTTGGTCTGCAAGGGCAGCTCCCAGTGAGGGACTAGCCTAACAAGGAGTACAAAGAGTGCCACACAAAAAGGTGAATTTGTCAACCAAAAAAATAGAAACAAGGAGTTTCAAGAAACCAAACAATGTCTTTGAACGAGAGAATGTCCGAGGCGGAGGGGGGCGCGGGCCCTAGTGGCTACGTAACCTAGCTCAAGTAGCTAGTAGCCACTAGGCTGGGATGCAGAAGAGCTCAGGCTTCTTCAAGAAAGCTTCCCCCCTCAAAAGCGCCGAGGGTAGCTTGCTTGAAGAGCCCTTTATAGATTCTTTGTGAAACTTATATGAGTACTATGTCTGCACAGTCACTGCCTCTGTTAATCCGTGCAGTCGCTACAGCACGATGCTTGACAAAGCAATCCTCAATATCTGTCATCGAGTTGCAGTCCGGTGAGATGTGCGTCATGTTCCTTGCAAAAGCTGACACCAAGTGAAAATTAAAGAGGTAGTCGACTGTTGTAGAAAAAGGCACGTGGCCTCATGAACGGTGCCATAGGAAGACCCGAGGCAAAGCAAAATGAAAACCTCAGTGGCTCCATCTCTTGGTGTTCACTGAAAGCTTAGTATCTAGAAAGCTTAGCAGCTAGCAGTCAATCCAGTGTACCCAGTGTCTGTGAGCATGGCTGCCCTGCCATGTTGCTCAGGCATTTTGGCAAGAAAAATCAAGTGGCCCTGCGCCTGTAGAAGACTGATGGTCAAGTGGTTTGCTCATGACCGTCCTCAAGCGCACGCTGAGGTGCCCTGTTCACCTTGTCTACCCTATTAGCACATGCAGTGAAAACAGCATGCCTCAAAAGCTCAGAATCCTCTTGGCAAAGAGTCCATGATTTTCGTAGAAGCAGTGTCAATTTTTTGAAGGAGACATAGGTGAAGCTGTGCTCCCTATGCGTGTTGCAGTGCTGAGTTGTCTGCTCCCTTTTTCTGTTGATCCCATATCAGCACCACACTCTTGAGCCTCAAAATGCAGGTCATCAAATCACCTTAAGTTGTCTTGCACAGTATTTTGAATCCACACAGGAGGCCATCGGCCATCGCGATTAGGTTGGAGGCCATTGCAACGTGCTTTGCATCCATATTATGGATTTTAACAGCAAAGTGTCTCATGCTGAAAAGAGCAAAAAGCCGAAGCCACGCTGTGAGGCTCGTCATGCCAAGCCATCGAGAGCTTTCTGGCCTCCCAGAACGTTAAGAATGTCAACAAATGCCATAATTGTATAGAATGCTTTGAAGAGAATTTCCAGTCGGCTGGAGGAAGCTCCTTGTCGCTGCCAATGCCTGCAAACAATCTTGTTGAAGAAAGTACAAATCCAGAGCAGGTTTGGCAAGCTGGAGCAGATCGAGCGAATGAAGGACAACCGACAGGACGACTGTAAAGGAGCGAACTTGTGAAAAAGATGTTTCGGAGCGGCCCGCATTACAAGGATTTCAGCAATTCCAAACAGCTGCTTTTTGTACGCACTTCAGGCAATATGGCAATGTGCTGGCACACATTGGAAAACTCTAGATCTACGACTGCAGAATCTAATTCTCTCACAGTGGAGCTCTACCTTCAGCATGGCAAACAAGTTGGCACTCTCAGAACCGCGAGCTGGTTGGCCTCACTGCGTTGTAGACCAAGAGTCATTTCACTGTCACGTCAAATTGACACGCGTTTGGGATTCAGGAAAACAGCCGCCTCCAAGCCATTAGTGGGTCAAGGGAGGATGGACCGAGCTCTCACCGGAATTTTCCTAAATGGACCTTGTCGGCATTTGGTCAATTCAGCATTCGCACAATTTCAACCCCGACCGCCGGCAAGTACATCCAGCCTGGGAAGGCCAGCACAGCAGCTGCAGTCGTCACCTCTACTGCAAAAAGCCGCGCTGAGAACCTACAAGCTCTTGCCAAGTTGGGGTCCTGCCTGTGCCCCGCTGATTCCAAACTCAAGAAGCCTGTCAAGTCAACAGGCTCAGCACTTTGCTGGTGGGAAAACCTGAAGACTTCTCAAAGCACCTCCACACCAACTTAGGCATCGGAAAGGCCTGCAAAGACCTCTGGTGGCCTCGTCTGAAAATGTGAAGTGGAGGGGCCTTTGCTTGCTGGGCTGGCTGTAAAGCAGTTAACAGTTCGACTCAACATCTCATCCGGTGAATGTTTTATGTGTTCAAGGTTCAAGTAATACTATGTCAGTGATGCTTAAGCAATCCCCATGCATTGTCAGCATCTTGAAATAGTGTTGCCGCAACACACAAAGTTTAGTACTTCCAAACCATCTGTCACAGGTGTTTAAAAGGATGGATTGTTTACTTGAGTTTGCTGATGAATCTGTGGTTATGACATGGGGTGCCCAGCACGTCGGGTTTTTCCATTCTTGGCTCAAAAAGGTCATCACAGCGCTTGGTTTTCTGTGATGCCGTGTAGTTTCATTTCGAAATGGAATGTGGCTTTCACACTCCCCCTGACTTCGTCGAAGTCATCACGTGTCGGGTAGGTTTTTTCGTCTACCCTCCACGGTCTTCAAAGATCTCAAAACTCCCATTGGACTCACATGAGTCCTCTCGAACCCTTGAGGTTCCAGAAAAACCGCGTCGCGGCTCCCAAGGGTCATTTGACCTAGGCCTCACTGGCATCTGCGTGGACACACCCATCCATGTTGGTGTCTCCTGGTTTGTGTCTCCAACTGGTGGTAGTGGGTGATCAGGTCCTCTATAGATTTCCCGATTTGGGGGTGCCAAGTTGCTTCGCACCACCCTCCATCCCTGAGCGGTCATCTCGTCCAAGGTAGGCGGTTCTTCATCCTCACTGGCCAAGGTTCTCCTCCAGTCAGGTCTCTCTGCACTACTCGTCTCACTTTCCACCGGCTGGTTCACTTCAGGCGACCCTACATCCACTGCTAAGTCCCTCATGAACGCCAGCCAGTCATCCCGCACATCATCCTCCAACGTAGTTCCATCATGTCCACCAGGACCTTGTGCCCAATAGGCTGGGTCATAGTCCCACCCCCTGTCAATCTCCTCACTCACCAGGGAGAGCTCTCTCGAGTCTCCGGACGTTCCAGAGCCCTCTATACTTCCCCTCGTTGTTGATGGCCACGAAGCCGTTGCCCATAGCCTCCCAGACCATTGCTCATCCCCTCTGTCATCCTCGTACTAAGGTCGGACACCGATTCCCCAGGATCTAGCTCAAGTCCTCGACGATCCAGTCTGACATCCTGAGGCAGCCCTTCCGGTAACGGACCATGTTCCGCAATACCCGGCATTGGTGGCGGTCCCGAAGTCAATGAACTGCTCATCGAGGAAGAAGTCCGATCTCCCTGCCCTCTGGTAGTAGATGAACCAACCCAGGCATCTTTCGCAGGTGGCTGCGTCTCCATTCGCCAGTCATCATCTCGAATTACCCTTTCGATGGCACCACAGGACAGTCGTTCTCCGATCCTGTATTTGGCTGCAATCCATAGGTGTTCGTCGATGAATTGGGTGGAAGGGCCTCATCCTCTGCCTCACATGGTGTCTGACCCACCATCCACCTGGAAGTCGGTCCCAACGGTCTTGACCCCTTGAAGGCATGGTGAATCTCCTCCAGGTCCAAGGCCGGTCATAGTCAATAGCCGGGGCCGCGCCAGTCGCCGCAGATGGTTCCCCTCCAAACTCTGCCGAAGATCCTCTTCCCAGAGCCGCCAAGTGTTACCGCCATGGCGCACTTCTACCGCGTAATCCCGGGAGCCCTCAGGGCTAGGTTCAGTGATGGGTTCCTCCTCTGACCCATCATCCCTACTGCAGGTGGGTTCGTCTTCCCTCACCTGATCTTGAAGTCCAAAAGGTGGATCTACATACTCATTTCTTGTCGGCCCAGTGGCTCTCTTCTTAGAATCACAGCCGGCTTTCCAGCTGGTGGCCAAGCTAGCCACCATTGCGGCTACAGCTAGGCTCTGAGCAGCCTTGCCCGTTGGACCTGACGGCCGCCAAGTCAACACTCCCGCTAGCCCACCTACCAACGCTGCAATCCTGGCCACTTTGGACCCTAAGCTATCAGAGGAAGCTTCCACCGCCGGTTTCATACCCATCGCCGCAAAGAAATGCTGCCATCGGGCTGCCACCCCAATCGGCTTCGTTAGAAAATCGGCCACCAGATGTTGACCTGGGATGTGAATCACCTTCCAAGCACCCCGTTTGACCCGCTCTCGTAACGCATGAGCTCGAAGACGAAGGCGGCGTGTCCTCCAAGGTCCGTCTGGCGCTTCCAAAATTCGAAGACCAGCTTGGTTGTCCCCCCCCCAAACGGCTGTCTCCCCATCCAAGCCACTCCATACGCCAGGTCAGGTCGGCTTCTCACTGACACGCACAGTAGTTCGCCCACCACGCCCTGCGCCTTTCTCACTTCCTCCAACGTGACCTCAGCCTCCGGTTCCTCACTTGGCACTCCCGGAAAGGGCACAGTGGCAGGAGTTACCGATGGATGTCTAGTGAGCAGCTCCTGGATGTAGGCCTGCTGCCCCACATAGAGTCCGCTATCCTCATCCGCTGAACTCCATCTCAACTCAAATCCACTGAACTTGGTCCATCACTCTCGCTACTGACCCACTCCGCAGGGCTGCACTTCCATTCCATCTCGATCCTGCCCAAGGCCCTTCACAATGTCCTTGGCGCCAATGACGATGAAGTCATCCACGTAGACCCCAATGAATCCCTTCCTCCTGATCCAGCGGTCTCCTCTCGATTATCTTCCAAAGGTTGGGTTCCGGCGTCTCCCGAAGCTCCAAGGTCACCCCTTCGTGCTGCCACTGAAAGGATCTCATCAGCCGATTCCGGTAGGCCGCCCAATCAGCCGGCGAGGAGCGAAGTCCGTATAGGGCATGTTGGACTCGCCATAGTTCTCGAGGTCCAACGATGCCTGCTTCCACCAAAATGCGTGGTGGTTTCACCACAACCAGTCTTCGACTGGAGTCCTCCCGGGGCGCCAGGAGGAAGGCTGTCTTGACATCGCAAGTTGCGATCTCCCAGCTCATCGCTGCAGCCTTTCGAAGAAGGCATCTGATGGTGGTTCCATCTGCTCCACCAGCATACAGGTTTGGAAGGTGCACCTTCTAGATTGAAAAGCTGTACCTCTCTGGATCTATCTTGGTGGTTCCTGTCTAT